GCCGGCTCGTGGAGAAGCTGGGCTGGTATGGTATTGACCCCTGGTGGTTTGCCGACTGGCTCAGTGACCGCAAACAGACGGTCAGGGGCGGCTCGGAGTCCCTCCCGGTTTCCCACGGTGTGGTACAGGGTAGTATTCTTGGACCGATACTTTTTACAGTTTTTACCAACGACCTTCCGTCTCACGTACCGTGCGGCAGACTGATTATGTATGCGGACGACACACAATTCATTAATACCTGTGAACAGACCAGTATCGGAGAACACGCAGCCGACCTAGAGGTCATGCTCGGGGTGGTCCAGGCATGGTACAATCAAAACAGCCTGAGGATAAACCCGTCAAAAACAGAACTGATCATGTTCGGAAAAAATCACGGAGCCGATTTTTCTATCCAATTTGCCGGTGCAGTAATTCAGCCATGTGAGAAGGTGAAGGTGCTGGGAGTGGTGCTCGACTCGCGCCTACAGTGGGTGGACCACGTGTCCTTAGTGGTGCGCCGGTGCTACAGCACCTTATCAGGTCTCTCAAAATTCTCCCATCGGCTGCCGAGTTCGGTCAAAAAACTAGTCGTCGAGTCCCTGGTGTTCCCACACATTTTGTACTGCGCTACTGTTTGGGGCGGGTGTAATAAAACCCAAAGACATAGGGTTCAGAAAATTCTAAACCATGCCGCGCAGATCGTGTCGGGATGTTCACGTCGGACGCACGTTACGCCACTTCTAGCCCAACTGGACTGGCAGAGCGTGGACTCCCTCATACGCGAGAGAGATATCATTACCGTCCACAAGCTGACACACTCGCATCTGGCTCCTGTCAGACTGAAACAGCTGCTAACACGGCGCAGTGAGGTGTCAAGCCGCTGTACCCGGGCTACGGAGGCGGGTCACCTGGAGCTGCCCCAGGTGCGCTCTGAGCGGGCCCGGCGGCACTTTTGTTTCCGGGCCGCTATGAGCTGGAACGATGCCTCTGATGCTGTCAGGGAGCCAGTAACTGTCGCCACGTGTCGTGCGAGACTGCGATCAAAGTGAGCTTCTGCACTGTGATGACTGCATTTTAACTCTGTATCAACTTTGTGTATTAATCTGTAGAACGCGTCGCGAGGTACAGTGTTTTATAGTTAGGCTGTGATTCTTGTGCGGTGACAATAATATGTAGGTATGTAGAAACCATGTGATCATAATTTGTATGTAGGTACCAATACCATACATGATGCTTCAATGTATATTGACGCAAGCTTTAAAACCCACCATGTGGAGGCTTAAGATCGTAAATAAAATAAAATAAAATAAAAATAAAATGAATTATCCGATAACAATAGCGCTTTCCTCATAAATCAGCCCACACAAAACGTAATCCGAAAATGGTGGCGATGTCCATTTATCAGTCACCTACTGCAATCAATCACATAAAAATAGTTTTCCGAGCGACCCTCACAAACATCGTCCGCGGACGAATCAACAGCCTGGCCGGGCCGGTGACAACGCAGCTGGCGAGCTGGGTTCGTTTCTGTATCGATCAAGCGGCCGCCGTACCGATATACCTGTTCTGTGGCTGCGGCTGACACTGGCGCCGGGCCCCGGGGCCACGCTATACTGACGGCATGACCCAGGTTATGAGGTGGTCGTGGCCCGTGGGGGTATTGGTAACACTCACAGGTGACAGTAAACACTTAACAGCAGCCCCATCGATTTCCTCAAATAAAAGGCAGACCTTTTGGTGACGGGATTCGATAAATATACCAACTCCGGGAAAGGTCATTGGGAAATGATACCGCTGACACCACATGGCAATGATACTATCGTGGTACCTACTTGATGATGCAACGATGCCACCAAAGCTATAGCCCCGGGGATCGGTCGTCTGTCGGCTCAACTCACACCTACAGCGTATCGACACCGGTGTGTACTGGACACCGGTACGGCTTCACATGTTGCCCGACAGGGACAGATATGGGTTGTGTTTTGAGCGGCTTGCCGCAGCCGGCCGGGCGGAACACGGCAGCGGATAACACGGCAGCGGATAATCTGCTCAAACGCCGCCTGTGTCCACCAATGCTGACTGGGGTCTGAGACTAGGTCCCATCCTATTACGAAACGTTACACGGCTTAGTGTTTAACCCGCGCACCGACGGGGGGGCGGATATCCGCCCCCCCCCCCTGAGATTTTTCGCGAATAGCGGGAAAACCGCGGCGCGTAGCGCCGCGAAATTTGGTATGACTATTCCCTTATCAATTTTACACATGGTGTGCAAGTTTGAACCTCCTACCTTTCAAGGTCAGGTCACCAGGTCACTTTGAATGACCCAACCTCAAGTCACTTTTTTGCAACTTTGTCACCGTGCCAGAGCTACAGTAGATGTCGGAGGCCTTTGAAAGTCGCAGGATGTTATTAGGTCATTAGTAGCTACAATTTGTATATCTCGGAATTTTGATATCGGTGACCTAAGGTCAGGTCAATTTCGCGACCTCCCCATTATAAGTCAATGGGGGAAAAATCAACTCCCTGTTTTTACCACTAAAACGGGTCGGAATGGCCCCATATACCATACATGACTTCATATACGATCAACCTTCACTACCTTGAGGTCTGTTTTGCTGTTGGGCAGCTGTGAGGTCATGTGACGTCATCAAAGGTCACCAAAGGTTTTTGGCCAATAACTCCGTACAGGAACAAGATACAGACACGTGGATGGTATCATTGTGTTCAGCTCGTCAAGACGCATCGAATGATATACATGATGACCTCGAGGTCACGTGACCTGAGGTCAACCTTTGACCTTGACCTTTCGAAGTCAACATATATATCATTCGACGCGGATTGACGAGAGGATCACGATGATGCCCTTAGTTTGTTCCTATCTTGACTAATTCGAAAGTTATTCGAGCAAAACTCTCTCCATATTTAGCGCCGCCATTTTGACTTTTTCGACCCCTGTGACGTCATCTTTGACCTAACCTGAAAATGACCTTTGTAAAAATTGTAGATCTTGACCGTGCGTATCCGATGCCGTTTACCGCTTGTCGCTATCTTGCTTCGTTCTCGAGATCTCAGGGGGGGCGGTCATCCGCCCCCCCCCCCCCCCCCCCCCGTCGGTACTAAGTTGGCGCAGACCCCCGTCGGTGCGCGGGTTAAACTAAGCATTGAATAGTGATGTAACAGCGTTTGTCGATGCCCCAGCTGCGCATTTTGCATGCCCCATGTATCTGAGCTGAGCTGGCATTCAGCTTCCCCGATGAACCCACCTGAGGAGAGAGACAGTGAGAAGAGACGACGGCCGAAGCGCTGTCGCCGGCGACGGACGGGCGTCGGCACGGCGCCGGCCGGCCCGTCAGACTGCTGCAGACTGCTGTACATCACTGCTGCTGCTGCTGATGCTGCTGGTGATGATGTTTCAGCAGCAGTCACTAGCCTGGTGTCCAATCCAGGGAGTGCACTGACAACTCCTTTGGATCAGGAGTGGAGCATGCCAGTGCCCAGCGGCCAGCTGACCCTGGGAAGGTGGAAATCCAGATACAGTGAAAAGTTGTCTAAGAAAATAAACTGGGCGATAAAACCAGCACAAGCTAGGCTGGTTCAAATAATCATTTGATTGATGAAAGATAAGTTCTGAAATCTGAGGAAAGTGATACCTTGGGTTTCACTGAAAAGGTCTGAGCTCATCATCATGAGTGTAAGTTGCAATACAGCATTATTTGGGGTTATATCTGCTAAATTGAAAATAAAGACAGATATTTACATATCTGTCTAGTGCAAAGCTCCTCATCATATCACACTTCACAGTCACTGTAAGGGTTCAAATGAGTCAGAATTAGAAGAAATTAAGCAAAACCATTAAAATTGGGGCTTGACTGTCATGTAAAATTATGTCAGGTGAAGACAATTGGTCTCAATTAGCATCCTTTGTTGGCTCCTTTTATTGAAATAAATTGAAATGCAGCTAACCTAAAGGAAAAAGGGCTGAACTCAATGCTACCCTTCATATCTGGTTATGTTATCTAGAACCTTTTATGAACAACCAAAGGTCATCACATGACACACCAAACACTTTATAGAAAATATCCAATTTTGGAACTTTGAAACCATTGTATCCAATTTCCATCAATCAATCCCACAAGGTCCATCACTTGTCAAATACAACTGCAAGTAGGTGACAAATCAATTTTGTAGCAGCTTACATTTTTAAGACATAAGGATGGTGGTTGATCAATTTAAGATCTCAGGATGGTGGCCCACTAATCTTCATAAATAAACATCTCAAAAACCATCATAAAGAAACTGAACTGGAACTGAAAGAGGAACGGATCAACATGACATGAGATCCATGCACTCCATTTCAAATCAAAATGAAATTGTCAATAGTCCTGAGCCTACCATGCATTCACCACACTGACAATGATACATTTATTTAACAAATACACCCAATCATAGATTCAACTTCAAGTGGCATACAAGCTGATTGGCTGATCAAATGATTCAATTGCAATAGCAAGAGTTTGAGCTCAACAGAGTCCAACTGAACTGTAATTATCTAGTCTCACCGTTACGCAGGCTTGAAGAAAAGTGAGTTCAAGTTTCTGCGCCGAACACCCTGGAACCGACTGCTCTTCCAGCCCCAACCACCGGCGTCGACCCTGACCCGCGCCTCTGGCACTTGCAATTTGCAGAGAGCTGCAGCGCAGGCACGCCTTGCACACAGCAGCAGCGTGGCGCGGGTCGCAGCTGATAGGAAATAAACAAACATGTAGTGGCACCTAGCGAGTAACTGTGAAAGCTATAGTTCAAGTTGAGTGAAGAAGGACCGGCGCGTGAGGAACGGCTGCAAGAGTTACGTGCTTTTCCAAAATTTTCTTTCATTGAGAACTGCCATTCTGTGGTCATCCTGGTCCGACACACGGCAACAGTTCCATTTTCCCGTCTTATTTTTTACTCAGTTACGCAAGCCAACGATGCAGGAGCTGCAGATGGGGTGTCCATATGAATGTAATTTGTAAAACAATAACTCTGTAGCAATTCGTAGATTTATTGCCTCGCAACATTAATTTGTGCTCGCCACCAATCAGTGACACATAATTTAACCAGTGTCCATGAAAATGCCGTAGGATTTTTAATGGGTGTCACTTCATCTTCGGCAAATCCCATGCCAGTCAGTATTGCGGTTGTCCCATCTCGATTTTTCTCCCAACAAATCAGCCAGCACAGCTTGTGATAGCACCCTCAGAAAAGCTCACGGTCACCCAGCCACCGATCGGGGTCAAACAGCGACTTGCTGTGCCCTCAGATTCGGCCCAAGATCCACACATTACCCCACCACGGCACCATTCCACGTAACGGGCCGATCAAATACGCCAGACACGGCGGGCCGATAAAACTACCCCAAAACAGCGGCGCCGAAAAAGGTGGCGCCACCGTCGCCACCTCCCGGCGAAACTCCACCTCCGCGGTCCCGAACCGGGAAGGTCTGAGACGCCGGTCAGATAGATTCAAGGCCCGTCGGCAGTGCGTGTACAGCTTGTCTGCGTTCGGTCGGCGCTACGTCTGCTCAGCTAGAGGAGCGGCGGCTGCAGGGCGCCTTCCCACACCGTGCAGCTTTCCCAGCCAGCGGGTCTGGCCTCGTCAGGTGACTCCAGCCCTCGGCAGCTGCGCCGGTTCTTTGGGCGCCTCGGCAGCCCGTTTGGCGATCAGGTGTGCTGTGACGGTCAGCGGCAGGCCGGCTCAGTCCGGTCCAAGCCATGTTAGGCATCAGGTCAGCTCAGGTCAGGTCACGCCAGGTCGGGTCACGGGTCACCGCGTCGACTCTGTTGTCGCTGCTGTTCGATCAGACGCTCCAGGGGCGACGGTCCCGCCGACGGCCACAGCGGCTGTGTAATCGAACGGGAAAAGAATGAGGTCAGTGTCAAACACATCGGCAACAGAATATATGCGCACAGTGCACACTGCCGTTAACGGAAGCAAGTAACGGAGAAGTAACGGAACACTGCAAGTAACACACTGCAAGTAACGGAGAAGAGGGAGCATAATTAGACAAAATAGACATGCTGAACAAACTATCGCGAAAGCGGTACATACTAAAATATTGCTCAAGGTGAATGAAAAGCCGTGTTCGTACTCACATGTTGCATGCCGGCCGATGGGAAGAGCGAGTAAGCAGCGCCGCGAGAGGTCATCTCCGGAGCTGGGGCGCTCGGGAACAGCGAGTAGACGCCGAGCTCGTCGGGTCGGCGTCCGGGCGGCTCCGGACCGGGTCCCGGACCCTGAGCCGGAGCCGGCACCCGCACCTGGCTGAGCATGGCCGCCAGCGGACTGGGCTGCTGCGCGCTCGGGCCGGCCATCGCCCAGCCGCCCCACGGCAGTCGCAGCGGCTCCTGGGGCGGCGGCGGCGGCGGGGGCGGCTGGGGCTGGGCGGCCGGCTGGGCGCCGCTCCAGCCCGGCGGTGGAACACTGGGGTTGAAGTGCGCCGGTGGTGAGTCCTCGAGGGGGTGGCGGGGTCGGGGCGGCGGCCAGACTCCGGCGGCGGGCGGCGCTGGTCCTCCGGCCGGTCCCAGCCCGCCCGACAGGCCGGCCGGGCCCGGCGGAGGCCGGCGCGGCTCGCAGAGGCGCGGCGGGCGGTTGTCCACCGGTGCCGGGCGAGGGACGTTCGGGGTCGGAGTCTGTGCCGGTGTCGGCGGCGACGGTGTGCGGAAGGTCACCTGTCGGCTCTCCCGGGAGCGCGGCTCGTCTCCGGGTGGAGCGGGGCGGGGACCAGACCGCATCAGAGCCTGCAGAGCCACGTTCTGGCGACGTCGGCCCGTGCCACCGCCCTGAAACGAGGGTTTAGTTGTCAGGATTTAACAGACTACACATAAACTTAGGAGTGGAGTTTAGCCACCAATAATGCGGCATCCACATCTCAAATTGTATGAGCCGAAACTTTCAAGTAAAGCACAGTTAACGGTGTGGACGGGTAGCAATCCAATGAGCTCACGCAACTGCTCAGTTTTCACCTCAGTCGTTCAAAATCGTTCTTACCTCTGCCTTGAGTATGCCTCCCTTGGCCTCTGCCGGCTGGTGGGAGGGACGACCGGTCTGTGCCGGGTCCCCGGCGCCCGGCGTCAGCTGCTCCGATGGAGAGGTGGGGTCCTGACCTGTCTCCGAGCCGATGGTTGGCGGCCTGCGGGCGAGAGAAGCGCGAAAGATGGCGGTGCAAACAGTTACCAATCCACTCCTTCGGAGCATCTAAATTCTGAAGTCATGTACAGCCAGAGTAATCCGCTTCTACAGAATCTCGAGAGCACTTAACAACAGAAGTCAGTGGCACCAACGATGCGAGCCCAAATCCCGTTTAGCTCTTGGCCTCTCAGGAGGAACCAGAGCTTATTTCTCCCTGCTCTAATCCCAGACACCTCCGGGGGGGGGGGGGGGGAGAAACATCAGACAATAGTGTGACAGTCCCCTAGTCCCTCCTTTGGCCAGAACCACTTACTATCTGCCTACAACCCGTTCTATATCACTGTCCTCACCAGGAGTCTGCGCCGCTCTCGGCCAGTGTCAGCTGCTGCAGCACCACGCTCGGCTCGGTCTGGTAGGCCGTCTCCAGTCTGCCGGCCGGCGCGGCGCCCCAGACCACACCGGACCCGGTCAGGCGCTGGCAGGCGGCCCGCAGACGACCGGCGCGTACAGTGGCCTGCGCGGCGGCCGGCACCGGCGGCCGGGCCAGGCGAAGGGTGCGCTGGGAGCCGGAGAGGGGCAGGAAACCCGCCAGGTCGACGTCCTCGGGCAGAGGCAGGCTGTTCTCCACTGTGGGGGAGGGTGAAGAAAGAATGTCACATACTGTGTCACTGACCGGCTGCTGGCGGAAATATATGTGCTATTTTGACCATTTGTCCTAAGACAGGCGTGATCACTCAGCTGTTGTATTTCGCCATATTTAGCTCGCAGGTCATGTCATCTCGAAATTGTTTTTACATAACTCGAAGCACAGCATAATTTACCAACAGCATCTCCAATCAACATTGAATCACCAGTGCTGCTAGCAAACATCTTACGAGCACCATCACCAGCTGCAGAACTATTGGCAGAACTCACTCGTCAATATCTACCCTTCTCACGTTGTCTGTTGTTCCGTACCTGCCTCTGTGACCATCTCCGGGGTGACCTCCAGCCCGTTAACCAGGTGACAGAGATGAGCCCACAGCTGGGGTCGAGTGGTGAACGGCTCGGTGGTCAGAACCTGCGGCCAGTCCGCCAGCCAGCATACGTACAGACGTACTGAAAACAGAGGCCATCGTGTTATCTCAGCAGTGTGTCGGGGCAGGCTAGGCCGCGTGGGAAGCACATTTCACATGCATAGTACCCAGCCATCTGCGCATTTTCTTCATTTTATCAACAACACCCAAAGACAGGATTTCATCACGCTTCCCTTTCCGACACGCCCTGTTCCGATCCCGAGAGACTGCTGTCAGCCAAATCACTAGTTTCACCTCCCTCACTCCTCGCCCTCCCTGCTCCCATCCCTCTCGCCGAGTCTCACCGACGGGCAGCAGCGGCCAGCGGCGGCGCTGCTCGGTGGTCTCCAGACGGTACGAACAGCGCAGCAGGGCGTCCAGCGTGGCGGCCGACGGCTCCAGGGCGGCCGCCACCAGTCGCTGCTGGGGCTCCGGCAGACGGGTGAGCTCCAGGGGTGCTCCGCCGTCAGGCCGACCGGCAGCCGCCGCCGCCGACTGTACGCTGATTACCAGCATCTGAGGACGGGGCAGGGTCAGTTGTGACAGACAGCAGGATGGTGTGATGGAATTGCATAATTAATGTCGCGCACAGGTGATGGGAATATACAGTAGGCGTCGTTGGTTATGAAGTGTTTTTGCTCATCAAAGCATCTCCGAAAACATTGTAATCGTAAGTGAAATGATATTCAATTTCATTCCATCCCTAGTCTCAGAACAGAAGCAAGAATCCTCTAAAATTGGCTTCATTGGAACGTTACACAGCTTCAAGTTATTAACAGGATATCGGACCTCTCCAGTCCCCCTACACACATACAAAAAGCGTACACCCAGCCTCATAACCTCCAAAACGTACGATCAGCCCATTAGAGGTTACACAATGCAGTTATACGATCTATCATTCCTGTGGTGGCAAAATCACTGACGCCAATCAACAACATTAATTACGCACCTGCAGCAGTCTCCACGGCGAGAGCGCCTCGGCGAGCAGCAGACGCGGCAGGCTGGTGGACAGGGCGATCAGGAGCGGGCGCAGGGCACGCGGCTCACACCGCTGCTGCAAACGGGCCTGTAGCTGCAGAAACAGCATCGTGTAGTCGGCGGCCGAGAGGTGACGACGGCCCTCCAGCGCCGGGCTGCCGGGAGCAGGCGAGGGTCACAAATGGGTCCAATAGGGACGGGCGAAAGACGGGTGATAAAGCGACCCAGATGGTGGGTTGGCACTTGGCATGGAGTGTAGCATCTGACTCCCCTTTGCGAAGCTTTCCACCGTCCTCTCATTCACTCAGTTATCAAGCATACAAAGCCATCCATTTAACTCCAACCCTCCCCAAACACAAAAACATACAAAAACGTTTTCCGCACCTAAACTCCACCCCCTCACTCGACCAGTCGACACGTTCTACAGTCCCCTCGCCCTCACCCTTGCACTTCCCCTAGACCCCCATCATTCTCACCCCTGCGTGGCCAGTCGGCTGTAGAGTTTGCTCAGGTTGGTGGTAGCCGCCGGGAACGGTGTACGCACGGCCAGACTGCGTACGTAGTAGTACACAGGCGAGATGCGATCACCGTGATGTGCCTCCAGCAGCGCCAGTTGGTTATACGGCTGGCCACTGGTGGGCACCAGCTTCACCGCGTGTCTGTGGGCGGAGTGGGTAAGGTCACATCAGTCGGTCAACCAGAGGACGTTAGGTGTGATTAGGTCTTCTGGTAGACAGTATGGCTCGGTCAGTAGTTTCAAGTTATCGACTGCGTCCAGCTTCCACCGCAGCCGAGAGCTAGACTGATACGTAACAATTTGGCCCACATAAAAACAGTCAACATACATTACGGATCTCTGAAACACTGAACCTGCCAGACGAATAAATAGAATAGAGCAATGTCAATGTCATTCATACAGCTGCAGCTTCGAACTGTATTGTGGATCGAAAAAAATGCAAAAAATGTTTGGGGGCATCAGCCGTGTAGTTATCCACCTCATCGCTAGTACCCGAAGGTTCAACATCCCTGCCAAAGCTCATCCCCTCACCGGTAGAATGACTCGGCCTGCTTGGCCCTGCCTCGGTAGCGTGCGATGTCTCCCATGTGCACCAGACAGTCCTGGACCACATAGCAGCAGGAACTGCGGCTGGGCGCTGACGCTGGCGGTCGGTTCTCGTCAGCAAAGGAGCCAAACAGGACGGCGTCCTTCCTGAGAACGGTAGGAGAGGGGTGGGTCAGTGAGTAGAAACACGGCTGCGCGGTACCACGACCTTTTGTGAACGGCTGAGGCGGAATGGATCAGTGAGTACACACAGCGGTTACTGCGTCCTTCTTGTGAACCGCGGAGGCCGGGGTGAATTAGTGAATAGAAGTGGCGCGATACAGCGCCCTTCTTGTTAACAGCGGGAGCGGGGAAGGATAAGTGATCAGCAAGAGTCCTAGAGTGACACAAAGAGTGGTGAGTTGATGAGTTCGTAGTCAGCACACAGCTGCTGACATAATGTAATACATAACAGGGGAGTGAGTGATAATTGGGTGGCATGCATTAACCAACGAGCCCAAAAGTATGCCTGCTTACATCCTAAGCCCGGAGCACAGCTACCATTCTCCTGAAGGGCATGGAATGGAATATACTGACCCTCCTGAGTCCAAACTCCACAGTATCGCTACCGACCTCCTGAACGGTAGATCGATGTCGTACATCTGGCAGAGCTGGTTCAGCAGGGCGGTATAGAAGCCGAGGGCAGAGTCCAGGAACAGGTGCAGCGTCGCCTGCCACTCCTTCTGCTTGGCGCCGATCTGACGGAACGAGCGGAAAACTTCAGTGAAAGATGTGCGTCGTAATTCATGTAAAAATGAAAACACATTGGACAATTGCTTATCACAGCTAAATATATTGATGTCAGTTCCAATCAACCAGACATATCACCATGGACGATTGAAGCCAGATCTGGCTTCAATCGGTTCACTCATTTCGTTTATTTCATTTCACTATCACAGCGGGCATTATACTGGCAGTACATAGTGGGTTTCACTCTTTACCACACCTTTTTATCCTTTGCATTTGTTTGCATCAGTGTGATCTGGCACTTGAAGCAGGTGTTCCACAGCTCTTGTTCTGCCTTGTGATCGAGAGCATATTCCAGGTCCGTGAGCAGCAGCTTCTTGAGCACGGTCTGCATCTCGTAGTGGGCGACGGTGGTGTCCCGGTCGCCCTGTATGCATTTTGATGTGCCCAACTTACTCTTCAGCTGCTCGATGTTTCTGGAGACAGACGAAAAAAATTAAGAGTCATTTCACATTGAGATGGAGAGCATGGAAGACTCTTTTAATATCGTAGAAGAATAACCGTATGCTCACTATCTTTTAATAATCCAAAATTAGCCTAAAATGAATGAATACATTTCGGAAACGTTCCTTCTTCAGTTCAAAAGTTAACTATACGTTAAGGAACGTTTCCGAAATATATTCATTCATTTTAGGCTAATTTTGGATTGTTAAAAGATAGTGAGCATACGGTTATTCTTCTACGATATTCAATCATGCTGCTCATTCTAGTACTTCGCCACCTTATTACAAGACTCTTTTAATGTCAACAGATTAATGTCAGCTTTTACGTCAACAGATCTGAGCTCCACTGCCCAATGATGGCATTTTGGCATTGCTAGGTACTAGCTTATGGCACCTCTAAACACTATAATATGCTCACAATGGAACATCATTGCAAATGCTACAAACAAACATAGCTTACTTGAGCAGCTGGACAGAGTGTGAAGATGCTGAATTTAGTTCAGCCTTCATTGTCAAGTCCAGGATGACTGTTGAAATGATTCACTCTGCAAGATAAAATTAAACATGTCATATGACAGATAAGCATAGCAGGAAAATAAAAGCAGACAAACAGACACCAAATAACCCTACTGAAGTAGGTAGGTAGCTCGCTAGTTCGATAAATAGGCTAAGAATCACATGGAGCTTAAAATTACATAGGCTATAAATTGCTGGGCATAAGCAGCTATCTAAACCAGAAATAAATGATTTGATAGGATTTCCATGTCGGTACTGAAAGCAGAACAGACACAGGGTCTCCTGCCCCTAATCCTAATTCTGTGCTAAATTTTTGAAAGTAAAGATGCTATACAACACCAATACTGAGTGTATATATTTAACAAAACTTGAGTTTCACTAAATGCTTCACTGTAGTGACTAGTGTCAGGGTGGACTCCAAAAATGGGTCCTGGGTAACACTCATGGGGAAATTATTTATCAGCCGATGCACAAGAGTGTAAATGGTACAGGTCCAAATACTGGCATGAGTCTGAGAAATGAGATATCTATTATGGTGTTTCACAATGCTTCATTACCTATAGGGTCTTTGTTGTTTGTAACTTAATTTTGAAGCATTCTTGGATTCTGTACACTTATCTCAGCATGATTTCAATTTATAAATGGCTACTGACATTTCTCTCAAATTCCAATAAAGTACCCATCATTCATATATCATTCAAGAAACTGAATGTTCTTGTTTAAAACACACACAAGACAAACAGGCCACTTTGAGGATTTGTAACTATGAGTTGAAGCATGTTCATATTCAATTCAGTTAACCTTGCAAACAGGAGTAAGACTCCTAACTTTGACACACAGGGAAACTAAAGGAACAAATCACATTCTTGTACAAGGGCACCTTAATGTCAAGCTTATTGAATGGAAGGATGCTCTGAGAAGGCCAAAGTAACATCCAAGTCACATCAACATGTTTGCAACTGTATCTCTAAAAATATTGTGGATAGTACTCACATCATGGCCAGAATAAGGGACATAACCACAGCAATATTGATTTCATTCTTATAGTATAGACCAAATCTAATAGAAGAGCTTCTTATTAGTAGTGTGTCATGGATAAAAGCTAATCCTTACTGTATTTAAATCCAATATTATCAAAAATAGCAATGATCACAACCCCCCACAATCAGTTGTAGGTTGTAGGTTTTAGGTTGATAGGTTGATAGGTTGTAGGTAAGCTTAGTTCAGGTAAGATTGTTTTCTTTTATATTTACTGAGGAGTGAGGAAAGACAGTACAGTGATACTCTTGAGACGTGGTTATACAGGACAGGTGTATTCATAAGTATTTTATAAGTTTTAATAAACATACCCTATCAGGAATGTTTTAAGGCCATTCCAAATGATGTTCTTCAGCATTCAATAGCACATTGATTGCTGAAGCTATTGCTAATTAACCACATCGCAAGTCGAAAGGCGCAAGATGCAAGCACCAAGCGGCAGGTTACATCACATAATGATAATCCCGCCCATGTCACGCTAAGTTTTAATGTAAAAATCAGTGGTCAATTATATAGCTACTTCAGACAGTACAACTCTTCTTTCCACAAAATACAACAAGCTGAACTTGAAGCAGTTAATTTTTCAAAGCATCAACTTTTGATCTAAACATGTTTGACAAGCGAGCTCATTGTGAACAACGAACACAAATCATATAGGCTTACCTGAAATACCATTTGGATATATAATACACTGCACCAAATCCTCTCAGATCAAACTCGCAATGCAATTTCCGGAAACAAAAGCATTTAGATTCATCACACATGTATTTTCACGGCGCAATCACAATCACCAGCTGCGCGCGAGTTATGGAATGTATTATCTGCGTACTAAACGCCCCAAATTAGGTGCTACCAAATCTAATAAGCTTCCAACCTGAAAGGTTTTTACGTGCGACTTACCTTCGCCCTATCGCTTGCTGTAGCCCCGATATATCTACCTGTTGTTACGTCTGTTGTTAACCATTTGTGCGTTACGTCCAGCTTTAACTTCATGTCATTCATATTATTGGAAATTGAAGACGGCAGCACTCCAAAGAACCACGCGTTACCCATTATTTATGTGACTGGTACAGCAAGTATCTAACTAGAAAGGCGGCCTTTGCTCCTGTCCGGCAATGCGATGCAATAGTGCAAATGATACTTCAGTCAGCATAATGACTCGACATGGCTCAATGCGATGGTGGACTGGAGTGTAGAACAACACGGTCAGTCCCGTCTGGAGACGGGGGTTCCCGATCTAGTGGCACTAAGCCGGCCAATGAGACCCGTATGTAGAGTGTCCGTGGGCGAGTGAACGGTGACAGACGTGACCTTTTATATTAGCTCGGTGAGCTGGCCTGCGCACGGGAGGCCAGTGGAGATCCTCACGTGACCATTTTCCCGCTGCTGCTATTTGTATAGTTGACTTAGGTAATCACGCGTCGCCAATGGCAGACTTACTTTATATAATTCACGACGAGCGGCAAATCAATTAAATAAAAGGGCGGCGCATAAATGTCACGGTATCAATGCTGCACCTCGTCGTACCGCACTCGTCGACGAGCAGTTGGATATGTCCCAGAGCCATTGGACTTCAGTAAGTCAGTGAGCAGCCGGGTCGACTTGCTGGCCGTGGCCCGGCAAGTCCGCAATCTGGCCCACTTCGACAACTCATTGCAGACGGGTCCAGTGGCCGATTTAGTAGAGTTGGCTTTAGGCTTGCCCAAATATTATTTTGAAGTGCATAAGTGCAATTTATGCACTTATGTAATAGGTATGCATGCTTACACACCTAGCCGGAGAGCTGCGCTTGGCAACCCTGAAAGTTGAAACAACCCGAAGTCACCTGACAGCTCTAGGCTTGGTTTGCACTCTAAACTCTGCAATCATGGGCCGTGCAGGCCAACAGTTCTACAGCTAGACCCTATGAGCTCTACAGCGACACGTCAGCTGAGTCCGGTGGGGGCCGTGGGCTCGGACACGCTGCGCTGACACCTACCATTTCTTGCTAACGGAGTGCAGCGGCAAGCACTGCGAACGAACCGGGTTGGGGCCGGTGGCGGTGCGGCCAGGCTGACCGGCTCGACAGAAGGTCGGCCGCTGTCAAACCGATGGTGCAGCCGAGCGTCGGGTGCCGGGCGCGGTCCCTGCCGAGCACACGAGGCGCCTACAGCGACCATGACAGCCCGACTGCTGCTAATTGCCATCACTGCCGCCGCCACAGCCGTTGGTAAGTGTGCGTTCAACGATCCCTGGGGAGGGAAGGGGGTGAGACAGGGGTCGTCTGTTCATCCTCACCCGGAAGCTGTTAGCGTAACAAAGGGCAGTGGGTTACTCGGTTACAAATGATCGCCTGTTCGCTTTGGGTAATGAATATGTCATATTAGGCAGTTGGCTGGTGTTTGGGATAAACGTTTGCTTTCATCGTAAGTTTTTCGCCGTTCTTGTTTACCGTGACCAAACATGACACATTCTGTTTAAATGTTGTCTTTTAGTGTTATTGCTTTATGCTGTCAAGTCTAAAATTGGATCAAATGAAATGAAGCGTAAGAAAAAGGTACAACATAAAGTAAAAAAAAGATGACCACTTTATACACGCTTGAATGACACCCTTCGCACCGTTTGTGGGTGGGATAATTCATAATTGTCAACCATCTAGCCACTTGCCGCTGATGGTCATTTGAGTTTGGATCGATTTTCTTCGTCATGACGGCGTCGACTGTCAAAATCATTTTTTTGCCATTTTACCTTATTTAGCCCGGCCGGGCCCGCGGGGTAATTCCAACCAGGCGTAAATAAATTCCGTACATAAAGAAGCTACACTACAGAAACAGAAGTTGTTACAAACGAAAGGTTTTCATAAGACGATCTAAAGCATCAGTCAAAATTTTGTCAATCAATTTTCAAAGTCAGAGGTCAAAGTAAAACGCAAAAGCTAGCACATGTCGACACCTTTTTTTTAAACCCCACACCTGCTCACCCGTGAATTTCCGGGAGGCACGAAAGATCTCCTTTTAAAAGTGTCCAATGGTCTGATCCTGATCAAATATGTGTGTTCGTAGGCCTGTTCTGGTATTGCTTTATCTGCCAAGACAGACAAACTTGAGAAAAATCGAGTGATTGTACCTTTTTTGAAGGTCTCTAACCAACTTGTCTGAAATTCACCGGAGAACAAATGTGGGGTTTAAAAAAAAAAGTGTCGATGTGTGATGATCTCAAGCTGTGTATTCCGGAAAATGACAAGATGAATAGCGTCGGGCAAAATTGATTGGAAGCAAAAACAAAAAAGATATCCTGCGGAGACATCCACATCCTGAGACAGCCAATGATAGGTATGCTTAAAGATCAAAGTCAAGGTTAGGGCTATGCTCAAAATTGACCTCAAACTTTGCACTTTTTAATATCATCTATACCGAATCATTATACTGATTCATGTTCTCTATGACCGAATCAAACAAAGTTTTGAAGCACTTTTTAGCTGATCAGACCCCTACTTGTGGTTCACGTAACGCCTGCAAGGCTATCACAAGGTCAAGGTCATGCATGAGTACCTACCTACCCTTGCTACGAGGTTCTAAATGAATGCTTCGAGCAAACTGGATGTCATATTTGTGATCAGCGGCTATAACGAATGCATCAGATAAGACATTTCATGTGTCAAGGTCATCCAAAGGTCATTTTAGGTCACAAAAGGTCAACATACACTGGATGTTTGTCAAATGGATGGGGTACTGGAAGTTTCGTGCTCTAACCTCTAAGCGCTCGCGAACTATCGCAAATGTTCGTCAGGGGGTAGCGAAAAGCGCAAAGTGCCCGCGAGGGTTAATAACGCCTTGTTTTGAATGCATATTACATATTTAGTTAATCGAACTTTCCCATGCCTATCAACCTAAAGGCACCTAGTCATCTAGTCGTGTTACAATCGACTGCCTATAAAATATTTACTACGGCCAGAAAATGTCCCGCCAGACTAAAAGCGTATCGGTTGCGGCCGCATCCGCTTGGAATCCGGATTGCTGTGTTACATACATACGTATATTACATATGCAGCTTGTTGAGCACCTCTCCAATGCCTTGTGTTTGTCTCAGCTGCGCAGGCTGCGCCGACAGCGAGCATCTCCCACCATCCCTCCAACCAGACCGAGGACCACCACACCACTGAGCGTGCCAGGAAGTTGACGACCATTGACCGCATCGGCTGGAACGACCACGTCACGCGCACTCTCGGCGGTGTCTTATCGCGCACAGCGGCCGGCGGGGTCGACAAGCCTCCGGCCACCCACAGCGCGCACAGCTTCCTCGCGTGCAACGCGACGTCGAATGGTGAGATTGGCGGCGACACGTCGACGGGGAAGGAATCAAGGTTATCTTACAGCGACATGTTCCTTTGTAAAGGGTGGCTATTTTAGGTTTATATATACGTGCAATTGCGAACACTCGTATCTTTGATTTGAAAGACAAGTAAAATAAAACGGCGGAGCACTTTATAAAAGAGCCGTCACAGATTCTAATTAGCATCGACATTCGATACCTAAAGCTTTCGCTGAATGATATTCAGTCGGCTTTGATCTTATAACTGGTGTCACACCCAGCCTAAATTTCTGCAAATGTAGCCATTAAAACACTCGCCTGTCTAATTTGACGTATGTACTTGGTTCTAACGGTCATGAATGACAGATACCTCTCCCTACAGACTCCACTCGGCAGGCCGCAACGGCTGGGGGCGCCGGCGGAGAGAATGCCACTGCCGGGGGCGACTGCGGTGTCTCTCCTCACCCGCCCCTGGACGGCATCAGCAGTAACAAGTTTCACAGCACAGCGCGCGAGCACCTCCGCTCCAAAAATATCTCACACAAGGCAGGTCAGTCAGTATGCGATGGACGAGCCGCTGCGGAATACCAATAATTGCCCGTGCACCGTATCGCGGTTGAGGGTCCAAGAGACAGCGGTAAACGTGCTATTCATATACCTAATCAGAATTCATGTTATATATTACCTTTGTTCTTCCAAAGTATGTACAGTCAGAAAGTTCCTTGAAAAGAACTATCAACCTTATTGCCACCCATTCACACATTGTTGCTCTTTTCAAATGCTATTCATAAGGCATGACACGAAAAAACAGGTTCATCCATTAGCCACTCATAGCACTGTAACAGACATGCTACGATTACTACAAATTATTTGCTCAGAGTAAATAATAAACATGACGAACTCATTTTTTTTTCAGCTCCGAAGAATCGGACAATATGCAAGCCGGACGACAGTCGCGAAGTCTGCCTTATCGTACGGAACCAGACGGGAGCAGGTGAGTACGGGCATACGATATTTGCTTGCTCTGAAGCTCGAGGTTTAGACAGACGTAAGTGTTGTTTGATGCTTATCCGTTGTTATATTCACGCATGTGGGCAGCCATCGTAATCACTCGTGTATCTTGCATACAAATATTTCAGGGTCGTTCAAACAACTTACGTTTACAGTTTACGTCATACATTTACCACTAAAATTTATAATGAGGCTCAATACAGAACAAAAGACATCGTTATTTTTATACCAGATCCATGTGTCACGACCGAAGCCATGACAGCTGTCAACAACACAGCGTTTTTAGTGTTCCAACTCGAAAATTTAAAGGTGACCAGCATGAACCAAATATGTACGGCCTCTCTTGGAACAGGATGTGGGAGAGGGCAACACTGCATGCATGCATCTTTTGTAACAATGTCGTCCTTGAAATTCGAACGCACTTTAAATAGGTAGAAGGTAAGTGAATTAACGAAGGTGAATCGAACTTGTTGTAATTTAACCCTAGCCCGTATTGGTGTTTTGCCAGCTGCGAACGTATGAGGGGGGAGGGGTCTAACCTTGCCATTTGGCTCCTGATCGAGCTAAAGCTTCGCGGAAAAATAGAGAGTTTTGCCCGTGACGAGAAGAAGCCGATGATACCCAATTTTAAGGTCCTAGGTCATTGGTTGACCTTCCAGGTCAGGAAAAGTACCCAAAAGTCGGGAAAATCGGGACCTCTTAGAACGTCGTTAAGAGTGACTGCAATGGGGTTTTTCGGGGTGCTGATCACGAAGGTCATCTTAGTTTTGATCACAGATGATGTCCTCATGCATTTGGACCAGGTCGGGTCAGGTCAGGTCAGGTCAACAAGTAGGGATCCTGCCGGGTATTCGTAGCACGTGTCACCCGTCTCTGACAGCTTCGTAAAATGTTATTAAGGCACCAAAACTACTTCGTAAATGTTCAAATGGTTGTTAAATTCGAATTCAGCTCCAAAAACTAGCCTGGAAACATGTAAAATTCGAAAAAGTGAGCCGAGGTCATCAAAGGTCAATGACCTGACCTGACCTTCTGGTGACCTTGACATCCACTTCAATGCATGGGAACAGTAGCATATCACATATTTAAACGCTTGAAATCACAAAACGACTGCAAACACGCCGACCGAATCGCGGTTCCTGACAAATAGGGGAGAGTGGGGAAAGATGCCCAGGGTTTTACTATGTCATATATCATTCGAAAATGACGATCCGAAAGCAAAAACTTGGAGTTTCAACGGAAGCCGACATCATTTGTCTCCAAAAATATCACACTTTTGTGCCTGAAATATGATAACTTTTTTGCTATTAAGCATTTTCCTGAAGAAGTGAAAGGGGGCATCTTACCCCACAGGGTGGGAAAGACGCCCCCTGGCGTTGGGGAAGATGCCCCCTGCACTATAACTGACATAAATGGGCACGTGAATCACCTGAACGAATCAGTAGTCTCTTCGAGCCTGCAGTAGACACCAAACGTCATCGTAAGGGCCCTCAAAAGTAGTCGTAAGGGGCTTCAGAGATCATCGTTAGGGCCATCATAGTCCAGCGCGGCCAAACAAGCCTCCGTGGTGGCGTTCGAAGACCACTGTGGGGCCCTTATAGGTCTTCATTGATGCTTGAGGGCCCTCGAGCCCATCGTGGGGACCTCAGATGCCAGCGCGGCCCGTGGAGCCAACGTGGGAGCCCTCAAAGGATGTCGTGAGGGGCCCTGGAGCCAATAATGGGGCCCACAGAGGCCGTCGTGAGGGCTCTCAGAGTTAGATGCCGCCCAAAAAGTCGCTGTGTGGGCCGAGAGACCGGCATGGGGAGCACCGACCGTACTGGGCTCTCAATAGTCCCAGATCGGCTTTTGTCTCTCATCACAAGTGTGTAATAAATGATTTGACGGGCTGCTTGAAGGACAGCCTACGGATTTAGGAGGGCGTCTTTCCCCATCAGGACAGGGGGCATCTTACCCCAAGGTACCGAAGTAACATTAAATCAGTACAATTTTTTAGCCATAAAACTACACCCTGAAACAAACTGTTTGGGACACAGTACACGCATGTTAATATATCACGACTATAGCAAGAGACGCAAAAATTATCTACCTTCTTTGATATTTACAATGTTTTGACACCAAAATATTTTTTGAAAGCAGCAAATAAAAAACATGCAATCACCAGCCAGCCGTTGCCCAACTGAGCTTCGCAAATTTTTGTGCAGTTTACAAGGCAGGCTTCCGCTTTACGCTAAGAACATTAACCCGGCAGTTGCTGGGGTATTTCGCCACCCACCGTTTGCTGGGGGGGGGGGGGGCGTTAAACGCCCCCAGCCGATAACTCGAGAACCAATAGGCGCAGCGAAACGCACGAGGCGGCAAACGAAAGAACGCGACGAGACGCTTCAGATGAGTACTTAAAAGTTGAATTTTGAGGTCACAGGTCAGGTCAAGGTCAGGTCAAACACCTGAAATCGGGCTTTCAGTAGCATGGACTTCAGGACTTCGCAAAGGGCGCCTCTCGTCATAAACTCTGTCAAAACGGTGCACAATCCATCATATAAGGCCTACAAGAGTGTCAGCTCCATGTAGGGGTCAGTCAAGCATAGGTCAGGGTCAAGGTCAGGTCAACCGGGCAGGCACATATTCCCGAAAATCAAAACTGATATTCGCAGCCTGTGACACATGTTTTATGGGTAATTTGGGGCGTAGAACACGATGGTGGCATTCATTTTACCATATGTATACGTGTTTGGCTAAAAAAGTTCAATTTAAGAAATGCATGTATCATGGTCGTGAAGTAGTCACGAGAAATTGCCAAGATTCACTTCAAGATTTTGGAAAATGCGGAACGATAATCAACAATCGAAGATAGCCATTTGATTGGTCATGGTATTGGCAGTCTAATGGCGTTTACGGCATGTCTGTATGTCTATTCTGTGATTTTATATGAGTTTTTGAACATATGCCGTTTTTGGTCGAAAACTCAGAAATCATGACGTCACTAAAACCTCGATATCTCAAAAATTTTCCGACCGATTTTTTTGAAACTTTGTCACAATGAGCTTCAATCAATTCCCTACAGGTACCCAAAATTTGGCGCGCCTGCGGCGCGCCGTTTTTATGCTATGGCCCGGCGAAAAAAGTGGGGGCGTTTAACGCCCCCCCCCCCCAGCAACTCGCGGGTTAATTTCCAGGTTCGATTCTTTGTTTCGCCGCTAGAGGGGGTGGGGCGTCTTTCCCACCCTGGGCATCTTACCCCACTCTCCCCTATGGTCTCGAGGAATAGGTCACAGGTCATTGTTCATTTGGGCCAGGGTCATGAAATTCTTAGGGTAGGTGTAAAATTGGTTAACTCGAGGGTGCTGAAACTTTCGTCGCGATCGGCCGCTTTTTACGCCAGTTATTCGTGAAAAGCCGAGGGTGCCCGTTCGACCCCCCCCCCCCCCACGCACCCACCCTATACGGGCGAGTGCTTACTGTATAATTATAACCTTTGCGTATACCGGTAGCAAATAGAAGCATTAAAACCGACATGCTACTTAGAGCCGAGAACAATTATACAATGTTGCTCCGTTGAACGGAAGGCCGGCACGGGGAGTCATGAAGCGCTGCCCGTCTCATGACTGGAAGATAGACTGTCCCGCAACGCTTGGAGACCCGCCGGTGCAGCATGGCGCCGTAAGGTAGGCTGTTCCGCACAGCACGGCGACGGCAAGATAAGCGTAATCGGACAAATGAGAAGATAGGGATATGATGTCCTTAGAAATGGAGATTGTGTGCTCGCTACCGCGGACAAGAACGTCTAGCTTCTGGAACCAGAGCTGGACTGGAAATGCTCGGCAAATATTAATTGATAGTACGGCGACACGGATTCATCGGGTATCCGGATACAAGCGCTCCCTTTCTAAAACATGTTGTGATACCCATGCTGCGCACTTACTCGAACATATGACTGATTATTGCGTTGCTGGTCAACAGTTACAATTTACAAAGCTCCTAAATCCGAATTTGGTAAAAAGTTTTGGAATCCAACTGCATCCCATAATGCCACACAGCTCCTGCCCCACGGTGACGTGGTCGGTCGGTTCCCGGCGTCATTGTCATCACCTGTCAGGTAAGGCTTTGTGAGGCTCATCTCTTGACGTCAGAAAATAAGCGGTGCCATGCCGGATCCTGAAGTCGAGCCTGTGTCGAGTAACCTTTCATGGTGAAAACTATATAGAGCCGGCAGACGATTTCAATGATCGTCCGTCCATCGTTTCTATACCTACCTAAAATGACGATGTCCAAGTTTTGTTGTGAGGTCTAACGCAATGATGCGACACGATTGTATACCGTCGGACTCGGACTGCACGTAACAAGACTGTGTCGCCGTGCCAGCGTCTCCGTGACACACGGCTGGGTGGTTGGAATCGCGATCTGAGTCTTGCACGTGGAGACGACTGAATCACACTAGACTGCCACGACGTACCCAACGACATCCTCCCCGTCGACAGTGGCAGCAGCGGCGGAGCCGGTCGTTAGACGGACACCCCCTCCGCCGGCGCGGTATTTGACCCAGTGTGTCCGGGTGACAGCGCGGCCGCCGGTGGCCGCTGACGGCGCTGACATTCTCCCTCGGAGCGGCAGCGATGCGGTTGTGCAGCTGGTGGTCAGCGGTGCTGCTGGTGGTGGTCTGTGCACCGCCCGGTGACGCCGAACCGAGTGGGCGACAGCCGGCACTGCGCAGCCGTCACCGGCTACTGTGGCTGAGGAAAGAGGAACCGCTCAGCGGCCGCTGGGCGGAGCGGCATTCTCTTCTGCGGGGTCATCTAAACCGACAAACGTCAGGCGACAGAACCAAGAGGCTTCTGTCCAAGTTTCATCCAAGTCACCCCACGCCACGCGCTGGTATCAAGAGGCTACTGCCTAGACGTCATCTGAGGCGACCCACGCCACGTACCAGAACCAAGAGCCTCCTGCCCAGCGCTCGTCCGGGCCGCCGCTCCCGCTGGGTGCTCGGTCGTGCCTCAAGAGCCATTTCAACCCGCCGGGAGCGTCGCAATACGAAGCCGTTCAAAAGGAGCAGCAAGCTGAGGGCGTGGCCTGGCGGGATGCCGGGGCGGCGCCGGCCGCTCTCCTGGTACCCGTCACATACGACGCTCTTCCTCCGTCCCGTCTGGAGCCAGACCACGCCGTTCCCAGCGCACCATGGAGCCACAGGCAATGTTGATGAGGCTTCTTATTGTTAGCTGTGTTTTGTTTATTGGAGGGGCTTACGTTAGCACGAGTCTGAAGATTTCTTCGGCAGTGTTTCCACTATAGTTGTTTTCTTCGTCCAAGACTTGCAGTTCTGGTAATTGATCAGCTAGTTCAACAGCGTTTGAAAAAAACTCATGAAAATGTATGAGTATACAGCGGTGCAGTTATAGTTACCTTCGAGTTCTTTCAACGAGTTGGTATAGAGATAGGTTTGGCCTTAAATTACCTAACCGTTCTTTAGTGACCTAACATTCCTGATTCGGGTCCACAGGCACAGGAAAAGCTGCCAGGCTTTTTGAAAGTGTATTCAAGCAAGATCATGCAAGTGAGTTCGGTAAAACATAGGTAGATACCTACTCATCCTCATTATCAACCATGGTCATAACAAATGATACAAACGGTAGCGCACAGTGCAACCAATCTGCAAATTACACAACACATGGATACGGTTGGGACAGCATGCAAAACGTTTGATATTGAGAGTCAAATATGTTATATCGTCATAATGACTTAAACTCACTATAACAAGAATCAACGACTATAATCAGTGGTAATTATGTTTAGGAAACATTGTAGTGTATACGTAGGCCAACAATTGCTCGATCATAATTACGATGCTCACATCAGCAGCGAATCTAAATCGATCAATCGATTTCATGTCCGCGGGCACTCGGCGGTACAGATCTGTCGGGTGAATCTGGATTGACTTTAGAAGTGTTTGCAATGCAACTCCCTTCGCGTAGAAATGACAGCTTAATATTTTAACCCTCGCCCGCACATGCCATTTTCCCATCCTAGAACGTACATACATGGGGGGGGGGTGACCCCCCGCGCCATTTCGTTCCTGTTAGAGATAGAGCTTCGAGGTAAATACCAAAAAGATTCTCTGGGATGAGAAAAATCCAATGATACCCAGTTTTACCTTCTCAGGTCAGTCATTGACCTTCCAGGTTAGGTCAAACTAAAAAATGTTGCTGTTTTGGGTCACCGCTGGATATCAAGTGCGCTGCTTATCATATACCGATGACGATGCCGTTTTCTGGTGCCAAGCCAGCTACAACCTCTTTGTCACACTACCCGACCAGATTTTTGCTGCTGAGGTCATTTCAGGTCAAGTTAGGTCAAGGTCAATGATATGTTTTTGTATGTCTGTGTGTGTCTGTGTGTATACTGATGTATGCACCGAGTGTTAATGTGTCCATATTACATGAAACCATGATCTGAGAAGCTTTTACCAAAAATACAGTCAAAAAACTTCACGAAAAATAAATTCAGCCTGCCTAAAACGCAATTATTTTAGATGACCTAGGTTGACCTTGACCCTGACCTTGACATCTGTACATCGTCGAACAACATGTTCCATGATAGGTGGGAGGTAAGAATGGCAAAAAAGGCCGAAATAAAGGTGTCAAAAGCTCACAAGGCCCATAGCCAACGCAAGATGTTGAGAATTGGTCATTTGGGTCATGACATGACCTGAAAAAACAAGGTCATATCTCCGAAACCAAAAACCACAGAAACTTGAAATTTTTCAGCGGACATCAAGAAAGGATAGAGGAGCAGCTATACGAAAAATCAGGCTTCTAGCTCTAAAAATATTGAGTGCAGAGCAGAAACACTTCCTGGGGGGGGGGGGGGTGCACCCCCTCCCCCATGTGCGGGCGAGGGTTAAAGAGTTGATTCATACCATATGCGCTTCAAAACGTTTTGTTGTCCCTGCCATCCACGATCGGTGACCGCGTGCTCTCCTGATCAATTTCAGCGCCTGAGATCAACGTCTCTCTGCAGAAGAACGACACAGATCGCGAGCGGGTGGACCGAATCCACAACGTGACCCTGTTGGATCGGAGCACCACGCGAGAGGTGCAGGGCGGCTCTGACCCGAGACTGGCCCGCCTGAGGGAGACCCAGGACACCGACGACAGGCTGCGGAGGAGCACCAATACCTCCGGCACAGAGCGCCGCGTCGGCGTCACAGTCTCCATTGGTGAGTGAAGAGCTTCTAAAAAAATGTTCTCCTAACGTCGGATTTGTGAGTTACGACTCACGGTTTTACTCAAGTAGCAGTTACATCACATCTCAGTCAGCAGTTTTGACCGTGTCAATTTAGGCTTTTTTCATTTTGGTGATTAAGTTCACGATTTCCTTTTTGTGGGCGCTTTTCGGCTCGGATGAGTGTTGTTGGCGGGTTTGGGTGGCTGGCTCCGAATCCCTGTCACAATGCCGTCAAACGGTCAGTAACCTTAGATGATGTCAAGGGTTGCGAGAATGAGGTCGAAAGTCAACAACCGAATCGCAGAAACAAACGTCACAAAATCTGACATGGCGACAGAGCAGAGCATTACGTTGGTGAATGCATTGAATGAGTAGTCGAAATTGGTCGATGGGTATGCTCATGTCATAAGCAAGGCGCAGGAAGAGCGTTGCTGTAATTCTAAGCAACCCGTCAACCTAAGGTCGAAGATTTGTTTTCCGAATGTAAAAAAACTGCCTTCTTGAAATATCTTTATCGTCCCTCTTTCTGCATATGCGAAAATTGCAGTTTCAAGTCACTATAAGAGCTCACCAGGTGACCTCATCCCCAGAAAAAGTGAATACTTTCCTGACTTAACGTTTTTTTTTTTTTTTTTGCTAATAAGCTATCTCCCATCGGTGCAAGTTTTAGTTACTAACAGGGTTCAGCTTCATAGCCCACCCGCGATTCTGCGTGACGGAAACGGCCTTCACCTGCCGTCGGAACAGGTGTCATTAGCTGTGGGCGGTCATGACAGGATACCGCACACGTATACGCACATTGTGTCAGAAACTATAGTGTGTCATGCCTACCACATGGCGGGTTATCGTATTTCCTCGTCTCTTCACTCAACGCGGGCGGTGCGTTGTGTGATGATTGCCGCCATATTGATGGATGTATTAATGGGTGCCTCTCACCCGTTCACAGGACAATGCAATTGCTCTATTCATAAATGCCTACACCTTATATAACCTAGCGCGATCATTTGACTGTTATGCATTGAACTTCATATACCTGTTGGATAGCCATAAGTTTGTTTCCTTTGTATTGAGAAAAAGGTTGTGAAAATGAAGAAAGCAATTCATTCCGTCTCGTAGGATTCATTTCCTTCTTCAAATAATATGAAATGTGTACAGTTAAGTTACTCCGTATCGTTGCTTTCAGATAATGTTTTTGTGGCCAATTACCAAGGACAACCCCTTACTTTTTAGTATTTCTTCACAGGTAATCACCCAGATATTGTAATTGGTGCCAGCCATGCTACAAGAGACACAAACATCAAACAAAACAGAGAAACCCAGCAAGATAAAACCAACAATACCGAGCTATACAAAAATGACGGTAAGATACATGTCGTATTTGTGGTAGGAAACGCATCCTTTTCTTTGGTAACGACAAATGCATATTATTAAGCGCTTCAATACTTTTCAGGAGATTTACAGACAATCTCGGTATAAAACATGATTAAATGAAATTTATGAAATGATGAATGAAGCCACCGCTAACACACCTAGTCGATCTACAAATGAAATTGACTTTCCTTACTTTCTCTGTACAGGGAGCCGAAATGAGAGCGAGAGTCAGCGCCGACTCCGTAAATCGCGCGGCAGCGTCAGTCTGCAGGAGACCAGCAAGACGTTCAACTATACATTCGACAAACGAAACAATCCGTAAGTAATTATTCTTACGCAAAATGAAGCTCAATTTCATGGAATTAATTTCACGTGCATGGATTATATGATGATTGCTATTTATGTACATGCTAATTTGGTAGCAGTTTTAGTAACAATTTAACTAAAATAATAACATTTCTACGGCATGATATTGAATACTTAACATGAAATAATATCTAAATCTAAGCCATCTGAACCTGAAGGGGGAAAAACTGTTGCTATTGGCAACATTTCATATCCTAAAACCATTGTCAGAAAACCAAAAACAAAACGCAAAATCGGGACGGACCCATACTTTATCACATAAACACCATTGGGGATGATTAATGGAGTGTTGGGGATTCGCAAAGCAACACCGCAAGGCGCAAGCAACATATTGAGTGAGCACTTTCATCAGTGATCAGTAGGCGTGTGAGCAAAATGGCATATCTCTTCTTATCTATACATAAAAGGAACGCTGGGTTTATGCACGGTAAGAACGGGCATGTCCAGGAACAGCAAAGAGGGTCTTCGCCCACGTACTCGGGGCGAACGTACCTACTCGTTGGGTCTCGGCCAACTTCGCCATGGTGGGCGGGAGCGTGGGGGGGGGGGGTGTTTGGCCACGCACGATTATCTAAAAGCTAATATAACTAGCCGAAAGAAGTAATAAGTAATAAACCAACAAATAATAAATTAATAAGATAGTAATAAATGATTAAGATAATGTAATAAGATTGATAAGATAGGGAAAAAGGAATAGATAGTTCGCTGTAAGATCTTTCAGAATGACACAGATACATTTTCGATCAGATCACCGCTGAGGTCAGTGGAGGTCACCAAAGGTAAAATTATCACGTACCTACAATTTCCTCGATTTTAATAGTTTGTAACAAATCAGAGTATATCTCGTGACTGAAAGAGCTATGAATCTTGGAAAAGCGCTCGATGGCTCTTTCAAGGCCCTTTCACCAACATAGCCTCAGATTTGATTTCAAGTCAACGGTTTGGCCCACATGTGGTATAAGTCACCTTAACAGGCGGATTTTGGCAAAACAATGTTTCCAACCATTTTTGCAATAACTTCTGCGTCAATCATTTAATGACACATATCTAGCCACAATCGTGTTTCTCTTGTCGAGAAGTATCGACAAACTATAAGTTGACCTAAAACGGTCAACTGTAAAATTTGACCTGTCAAGGTCATGACCTCAGATCAATGTCATGATCTGAGCAGAAAAGGCCATGTTGCATGTCAATCGATCCGTATTGATGATCTGAGCATTGAAATTGTATTGAAATTGATTTATAATATTGAAATTGAAATTGATTGTATTGAAATTGATTTATAATAAACTTGCCAAGTTTTGCGGTGCAGAACTGCAGCGTGCCGCGGTTTTCTTAACAACACACGCAAAAAAAGAGAGTGTGATCAAAAACGGTTCTTGGATACAAACTATGCTCATTGAATATTTCTGCGTGAAGTATGAACTGCATGTTTGTGTCCTCAAAACAGCTATTCGAATCGCAATGTGCTTAGATCTGGTTTAGAGGTCAGATTAAAATATGCTTGCCGGAGTTGACAGTACACACTAGGGCTAAGGCATCGAAAGGACCTACGACTAGCCGTGGGTATTCCGTCTCAATCCGACCACCAACGCCACCGGTCCTTCGCCAGGCGCGAGGCGGGCGGACCACCGCTGGGGACCACGGACCATCCGCTCCTGGTCACATCTGGTCAGCAGCTGAAGCAGACCGCGACCTCCCGGTCAGGCAGCAACTCCAGACCGCCGGAACATCCGATCGTCTCCAGACCGGCGCGACCGTCCAACTCTTCACTTCATACGGACTTTAATAAAACAAGCCTTCAGAGGAAAGATACCCTACCATTCAGCGATTCCGGACAGCCAAGAAAGGGAACGGAGCCTTCTGAGGAGGCAGGCATAGACAGCTCTCTGAGACCACAGCACCACGGCACACTGCTGGTAAAATCCAGTGACGACGAACCGTTACAACAAGTCGGCATTCCCAGCTCCATAATACGAAAAGGAGGCGATAAAAGACCAGCGACACACGCAGGCATCAGCTCGGAGCTGGGATCGGGGAGCAGCTTCCCACATCAGCATAACACTGCTGGAGAGCCGGCCGGCTCGGGACACGGTGCAGAAGCGCATGGACTGACCCACTGGTCGAAATCACACTCCCGAAGCGGCTCAAAGTCGTGACCGTCTTCGGAATAAGCGTGCAATACTGTACGAATACGGGCCCGTTTTTACGTGGAATGAGTCGTGTACTTGGTGAACTACGTTATGCGTCATAGAAGCAGTGGATACCCATCGCATATGCTTGGTTTGTACGTCTGGCTGTAAGCCATCGAAGAATACAGACTGTCCACCAACGCGCCATCGTTTTCTCGCACCTGACTTTCCAATCGATTCGTGCCCGCGCATTAATTTTCCTTTCTGCTTCTTCATGGTTGTTGTTTTTTGTCATCTTTGTATATGCTTAGACGAAACGCGCCTGGAGATAGAAGATACAAAATATAATATCATACTCTTGTTGCATCTGGTAAGATCGTTATCAGCCATAGGCCTGGCCGATAAAATCAATACAATACCGACCGTTAAAACGTTCAGAAAAATATTTAGTGTATGTTACAGCTACGTTTCTCTAAAATACACCATTACCCTGCAATCCGTGTTTGTTTCGTTGCAGGAATGTGAATGGCGGTCCAGCGGGCATCTTGCAGGTCGGCGCAGAGGCACAAAAACGCCGAGGAAATAATACCAATACCACCCAGCTTCGTAATCACGAAGCATATAGCAAGCACGGCATAAAAGGCGACAGCGGAGGCATACACACCTATAAGTACAACAAAGACAAGAAAGAATGTGGAAGTAAGCATCACAAGGATTATGGGCATCCGGTCGTTTCTAAGTTACACCACTCGTTGCACCCGATTGCGACGCCTCCCACAGCCGCTCCGGAGTCGCTCACAAAATACCCGAGAAAGGTACACTCACCATTTGGGCATTGGGTTCACGGTCACCACCCGTACGAGCACGGTCCTCCTAGGACCACCAGAAGACCACGGACCATCCTAACGCCGCCGCTGGGACCAACTACACAGAGACCATTCTCCGGCACTGGTGACGAAGCTCCAACCCCCACCGTCCGATCGAGGCTACCACAGCGGTCCCAGCGACTGAGCCCCGTGGCCCACTACTGGCTGGCTCACCCCACACCGGCGACCCGTCCCAGCCGCGGGGTACTGACCCCGGCTCCAGTACAGCGCATAACTCGACGACCGGCGTCCCACTCTTTTGAGGACCACCCCTCTCACCCAAATGGGCACTCCTCTCACCCAACAGGGCACCCCTCTCACCCAACAGGGCACTCCTCTCACCCAACAGGGCACTCCTCTCACCCAACAGGGCACCCCTCTCACCCAACAGGGCACTCCTCTCACCCAACAAGGCAACACGAGCACTACACTGACGGTAGTCTTCACAAGGACTCCAATCACACGGGGCACTGGCCGGGGATGTCCAAAGGCAATCACGACGAGCATGCCAAGCACGCCTTCAGCAAAGACCTGGCGACGATCGGAAGGCACGCCATCCACTCACCATTTCATTGAAACGGTCAGTGAAATAAGAGCTGCTTGGAATGCAAAGATGGGAAACAGAACGTGATTGCCGCGGTTAGAGCCGAACGCCGTCAGTTTACTTATTAGCCATGGCTTAGTCTGTCGTGAATCAGCAACTGTCATACCAAAACATTGGTGTGGCATGTTACGCTCTTCATGCATGTTATGCTCGCTACATACGTTTGTAGGTCTGGTTTGTAGGACAGCAAGGGGGAAGGGGGATAACACTCGAAATGCCATTATCTTTGCCAATACAATAGAAAATGGAACTTATTGTGGTGAAACTTCTGGAGAGTTACGATAAGGGATGTGATGCAGTCGCGAGCGAATCACGGAGGATGGTTGAAACTAGTGCTTGATTCGATGTTCTTAAATTAAATCGTTCCTGACTAGCTTAGACGCATACGAGAGAGCGGGAGCGAGACAGAGCTGAGCTCTGTCGGGTGACGCCGGCGAACAATTGAGGAGTGATGTTCAGATCTGCAAAACGGACTATATATGACGGGGTACTCAAACCTTCTACATGTGTCTTACGACGAAACAATACGGCAAACACTTCAAAGTTGAAGGCAGGTCCATGGCAATATAGGCTCCACTAAACTAAGAAAACTGAATGCCCCCACACACGTATACTCGCAAATGTAATTGCAGTCACGAAAGACTCAGGATAAAAGTTGTTTAGTCTGATATGAACGGAAATATTGTGAAAAATACCCAACATTGCATAATTTTATCCAGGAAGCAGTCATTGAGGCGCTTGTGTCCGTTATTCATGCAGTGCACACACTTAACCCTCGCCGGACCTATTGGTTTTCTACATACGCGCCGGCCGAGGGGGGGGGGCGGGTACGACCCCCCCCCCCTCGCCGTTTCGCCCCTGGTGGAGCTAGCGCGTCGCGGAAAAAACGAGCATGTGCGCCGTTACGAGACGCAGAGATTGGTACCCGATTTTAAGGTCCTAGGTCATCCGGTGACCTCTGAGGTCAGGTCAAGTGCCTCAGGGTACGGTTCAGTTTTTGGTGAATAACTTCGCAAAAAACGGTCACAGAGCGCCGATTTTGGCAGCATCGTGTTCGCCTCGCTCAGGCGCGTCGAATGATATACTTTTTGTCCGGGTCAGGTCAACTTGGGGTGTTGACCTCAGGTCAAGGTCAGGTCAGCACCCCCAGGTCACGAAGTTGGTCGAAAGAGGTCATGTCGCATATCATTCGATTCGGCAGGCCTTCCTGAGTCCATTGGTGCCTTTCCCGACTCGCTAGCTCAATTTGATCAAGAGTTATTGACGAAAAACTAATTTGACCTCGATGACGTCATAAATGACGTCACGCAAGGTCAACATTGCAAAAGTGACGCATCTAACCTTGCAAGGAGTGCATCAAATCACGATTCTGTGTGCTTGAGATAGCTGGAGATCGTTCCCGGCGCCAGAATAGCAGTTTGAATTTTTCCCCATTGACTTATAATGGTGAGGTCACGAAAATGACCTGACCTCATATGACCTTTAGGAAAAATCCGAGATATACAAGTTGTGGGACTCATAATGGATACTAGATCCTGCAAGTTTCATTTCCCTGTGACATCTCCTCTGGCAGTGAGGGCGTTGCGAAGTTGCGACATCTGAAGACCGTGCAGAGGTTCACTTATGACGTCATAGGTCAGTGACCTGACCTGACCCAAAAATGCGGTTGGTGTCAAAAGATCCGGCTTGGATCAAAGGTCAGGTATGCCAAGTTTCAGCTCTCTATCGCCAGCGTGTTCGGAGCTATCGCGAAAAAAAACCCTATGGGGGGGGCGGCACCCGCCCCCCCCCCCTCGGCCGGCGAGGGTTAAAGTTTTAAAACGCACCGAGTTGCACGGACTCGATATGTTATCATTATAATCAGCAATGTAGTTGAACGACTCCCAAGCATTTTCTAATTATCTTAAGGTTCTGTAGGGGAGTGGGAGAGCGTCCGTATCGGTTTAGAGATATTGAGTTATTGTTCGTTTTAGTTTAGCTACCTTGGTTTTGTTGAAATTGAACGCGTGGGATATTTAGGCAGGGGTCGGGAAGGAGGCAAGCGCGGCGGGAACCGCACGGGCACATCGGCCGCCATCTTTAGCCTCGAGGCGGCTGATGTGGGCGTGGCCTACTCGGGCCAGGGACGAGACGAAAGCAGGGGAGAGGAGATCGGGGCCCTTGGTGTCGGACTGCCGTCCGGTACGGACATCGAGCCCCCGACTGCTCTCTGCTACTGGCTCACCTGGCTCGAGGTAGGTTCCTGTCACGCAGGGATTGATGCTGGGCTCAAAGCACATCCCATAGTTAGGATAGGAGCACCGGGGTGGAGGTTCGTAGGTAGTTTCGCGCGTCGGTAACCGTTAGGGTAGTGATAGGGTAGAAACTTGCGGAAACGGAAATAATCGTCGTCTCAAATATTGACTCACGCAGTCCTTTATATCGATCGGCTTTTACAATAAATGGGTTTAGAATTGACCAGATGCATTTGGAGACGGGTTGAGTCGGAGGAGAACGGAGGTTGAGCGGAGTCTGATTCATTCGGTACTGTAGTTTAGTCATCACGGCTCAGGAGCTTAGCTCCAAACCCATGAGGGTACGCTTCCAACCGCGTGTGCCCCAAAATGGCGGAGTTATTCACCTGAACCACGATGCATAGTTAGTACAATTAGTGTAGATGACAGTGGCCCGGGTGGCAGTCGGAGTAATGGCTGGGAGACGTCCCGGCCTACCACTTGTCATGTAGAGTAACGTAGATATCCGGAGGGGAGGTAACGAAGGGCCTACAGGACCGGCCTAAGCCCCCCTCACATAATGGTGCATCTCGGCCGGGAACGTTCTTTCAAGTGAAATTCGGCTGAACAACGTTTTTCTCCCGGTAGGTGTCAGGCACGCCTTTAGGTACGTAAGTCTTAAACTGCATTATCTATTGAAACGCCCTGCCCGTAAAGTCGCCGGAATCGCATGTTAGTACGTGGGTTTGGTAAATCTAAACAAACGGCTAACAGTAAGCCTAAAAAACGTTTTTCATTTTTGCTGGTATGAGGTACGACGTTGACGTAAGACTTAAACTGCATTCGGCGAGACGGTCTACTGTAAAACCAGTGTGCTTGCTCGGTACCTGATTTTGTAAATCTTAAACTGTGTAAATCGGGCTGCTGTAAGCTGTTAGACACGCCAACCGGATGGAACTTGAAAGAACGGTCGATTGAGCCATTCTAAATTTATTTAATTTACTCCGCTCAATATCCGAACTTCTGGGAACAAACGAGCCAAGCCAGCAGCCAAAATTGTTAGGCAAAAGCTTGCTATGACTGCAATAAAAATAGAAACAGAAGAAAACTGGTGTGCGAGTTGCGAGTGTGCATGTGTGAAAGATGAACTTGTTGGATGTTGCAGAATGTTTGTGAATGAATGATGGTGCATGACATTGTGTGTCGTACATTGTTGGATGTTGATGATGCTCACGACATTAGCCACTGATTATTATCATGAACGCCGATCACCCAAAGATTACCGCCTTTTGCTATATCTTTTGAATGTAAGATTGAAATGTTGCAAAGTGCCGATCGTTATAAACTAAACGCTTGCTACCTCTTTAATGAATAAAATTTCGCATTGAATATTTTAGGCTTCGATCGAATAAATTTGTAATAATTAGCTAGCAGAATGAGCCTCTTCTTGGCATTTCTGAACTCTGACATATGCTGCACTTCGAGCGAGAGTTCCTTTGCTTGCAATTAATTTTGCGTACAACTTCACATGCTAATATTTAATTTGCACAAAAGTTGAAAGCATTTCACTAAATCAGAATAAATCGACTAATTAATTTGTGCGTTCAAATTAAATAGCCCGACACTCCTTGAATGCTTAACACTGATTTACATTCTCCCAGACGCGAGAGTCGACATTTCGTAAGCTCAATTGCATTCATGTTGAATTTAATGAAAGTGGGATGTATTTCGGTCGCGAGTAAATATTGTCATTAGACGTTTAATGCCTTTTGTGCGCATTTCGTTCGGAAGTAAAATTATAATATCTAACTATTAATGGATTTCGAGTGCATTTCGGTCGCTAGTAAATTTTCACATCAAATATTTAATGGAGTTCGAGTGTAGTTCGGTCGCCCTAATTTGTCACATAAAAGTTTTAATAAACTCGCGTTATTTTGGACGAAAATCAGTCTGTAACATTTAACATTGGAGTTTGAATCAATTGTAATGCGTAAATTGTAATATTCAATTAGCCTGCTCACTGCGACGCATTGCAAATCATATTGTTTATCGTGATATCTGAAATTACTGCTCAGGTCAAACGGTCAGCTGACGTTGCATTTAGCGCCGTCAGTGAAATACGATAAAGTTCACAATTACGGGAATGAAGTCTTCCCCAAATTATAGAACTTCACAGGCGAAATGACTCCTACTGTAAAACTCATCGACTGAAACATTCAAATGTCAATGGAGTGGGCCCTTTCGAAAGGATTTTACAAATAGAGTAGTCGATTAGGTGGGGTCCACCAAATCAAATTAATTTGTTGATCGCCTGCGTAGATTGGTATAAAAAAGAGAGGTCGTCAACTGCCGTTGTTCGGCATTACTGCATTATTATCCCTGAAAGATTTGGACCAATAACAGCTGTGGCTGTTATCCATTCGACGAATCGATGCGATCGTACGTAAAACCTAACCGTTAAAAGTGCACGTCTCAAAAGGTGCGTCTGACATTTGCACGTTTGACCATCATATGATCTTGAAAAGCTAGCTTTAAATGGGACTATAAAGTCATCATATATTCTTCGACTCCGGTTGATAAATTTGTGGGTTAATTTGTTGTCAGGTGGATGTCATTGTCGAGGAGGATATTAATTTTGACACGAAAGTTCTTGTGTGGTCAACCATAAGAAAACAAGGATTACTTTGCTGAGGTGAAACTTTGCACTGACTGCACCGCTTACTATTCTACGCAATTCCGCATTGAAAAAGGTTCCGCAAGGGGGTTGAAGTATTTGCCATCATTGCTATCATTTAAGTAAAAATACCTGATATGCACTCTTGAGACTTTGAAAAGTATACCTTTTACTAAAGCTGGCATTTATCTAAAATCCGTTCCAAAGTGTTCATGGCACGTCGTTCTGCGTGTGACATTCCCATGTCGATGGATTGGGCTATTCGAGCATTTATGCAAAGTAAGAAGCTAACTTGTGTTTTTTCAACCAAAACAGCTGAGCGACATTTGGAATTATTTGTGGATCATGCGTAAATTTTT